GCAGAAGATTCCTTTCATTGTCACGTTTTCCGCTCTGACCTATTTGTTTTTTTTTATTTTTCTTGTATGTTCTCTCGTTATTATTGATTTGCAAAACCAGGACAATTGTGAGTCGATGAAGGCATTTCCTCGTTAAGTTCATTTTTTTTTAAGGGACTTCCTACGATTGTCACCGCTTAAGAACAGCTCTTGAAATATCGTCAGTGTTCACGCTTCTTTGGCGTTATTCTCGTCCTTGCCGCGTGATGTCGAACTGAACTCATTGCATTGTTCTGTCTCCCGCTAAAAGAAACGGTGGTCAGAAAGTCTTGTCACCCCTACATAATAGAATTTTTTATTTCAGAAGGCTGATACGAGCTCCCGCGGTTTTGAGACGAGCTGCTAACAGTGCGACACCGTCAATGAAACTGGAGAAACTGAATGCAGTACGTGTGCTTTGAATTACTGTATAACTTGTTTTCATTATTTTTGGTAGGGAGTGACAAAACTTTCGGACCACCCAGTACATTTGTCAGCCTCCTGCTAGAACGAGACGGATCCACCGTTCAACACTTTGAATTAAAAAAAAAAAAACAAAAAAAAAACAACTTTCATTAAGGAATTTCGGACCACCCTGTAGATTACAAGGACTTGTAATCTACAGGTGGTCCGAAAGTCTTGTCACCCCTATATAATATAATTTTCTATTTCAACGCTCTGTGGGGTATTACTATCAAGGAGAGATTCTACATGAACGATACCAGAATTCCCATCAGCTGAAGGACGCTGTTCAGCAATACTCAAGAGACGCACAGCTTCGTAAAATAACGGACAGAACATGTCGCCGCATCATTTTGTGCCACGAAAATGATGGCGTTCATACAGACCTACACGATGTGTGACAGCGTCAATGAAAGTGAATAAACTGAATCCAGTCAATGTGTTTTGTATTACTTTCTGTTGTTTTCATTACTTTTTGGTATGGGGTGGCAAGACTTTCAGATCTACTATGGCCAAGAAATGGGGGATTTGTTTAATACTATAGGACAAATACAAAACTGATCCCTCACGTTTTACCATCTTTTTATTTGATTACCATTCTCGATGTTTGACAGGGTCAATGAAAGTGAATGAACTGAATACAGTCCATGTGTTTTGTATTAGTTTTTGTTGTTTTCATTACTTTTTGGTATGGGGTGACAAGACTTTCGGATCTGCTATGGCCAAGAAATGGGGGATTTGTTTTTTTACCATCTTTTATTTGATTACCATTCTCGATGTTTGAGGAAAAAGTAATAAAAAATGTGTTTTGTATTACTTTTTGTTGTTTCTATTACTTTTTGGTATTGGGTGACAAGACTGATCCTATGGCCAAGAAATGGGGATTTCTTTAATGCACTTTTTACCATCTTTTTATTTGATTACCATTCTCGATGTTTGACAGGGTCAATGAAAGTGAATGAACTGAATACAGTCCATGTGTTTTGTATTAGTTTTTGTTGTTTTCATTACTTTTTGGTATGGGGTGACAAGACTTTCGGATCTACTATGGCCAAGAAATGGGGGATTTCTTTAATACTATAGAACAATACAAAACTGATCCCTCACTTTTTACCATCTTTTTATTTGATTACCATTCTCGATGTTTGACAGGGTCAATGAAAGTGAATAAACTGAATCCAGTCCATATGTTTTGTATTACATTTTGTTGTTTTCATTACTTTTTGGTATTGGGTGACAAGACTTTAGGATCTGCTATGGCCAAGAAATGGGGGATTTGTTTAATACTATAGGACAATACAAAACTGATCCCTCACTTTTTACCATCTTTTTATTTGATTACCATTCTCGATGTTTGACAGGGTCAATGAAAGTGAATAAACTGAATACAGTCCATGTGTTTTGTATTACTTTTTGTTGTTTTCATTACTTTTTGGTATGGGGTGACAAGACTTTCGGATCTACTATGGCCAAGAAATGGGGGATTTCTTTAATACTATAGAACAATACAAAACTGATCCCTCACTTTTTACCATCTTTTTATTTGATTACCATTCTCGATGTTTGACAGGGTCAATGAAAGTGAATAAACTGAATACAGTCCATGTGTTTTGTATTACTTTTGTTGTTTTCATTACTTTTTGGTATGGGGTGACAAGACTTTCGATCTACTATGGCCAAGAAATGGGGGATTTCTTTAATACTATAGAACAATACAAAACTGATCCCTCACTTTTTACCATCTTTTTATTTGATAACCTATAAGGATGTTTTGTAATTTCATCTATGAATCTACAAGGCGGTCGGAAAGTCTTGCCTCTCCCATATAACATACTTCTCTATTTCAAATGGCTGACTCGAAAATGATGGCGTTCATACAGGCCTTCTCGATGTGTTTACAGCGTCAATGAAAGTGAATAAACTGAATCCAGTCCAAGTGCTTTATACTACTGTATTACTCTATTGCTCGCATTACCTTTTCAGTGACTTTAGAACCACTCTGTATTGTGGCCAAAACCTGGGGGATTTGTTTAATACTAAAGGACAATACAAATCTCTCAAATTTTAGCATCTTTTTTATTTGATTAACTATAAGAATATTTTGCAATTTCGTCTATAAATATACAGTCTTGTCAACCCATATAAAATAATTCTCTATTTCAGATGTCTGGCACAAAAACAATGGTGTTCATACAGACCTTCTCGATGTGTTCTCATTACTTTTTGATAGTAGGTGACAAGACTTTCGGATCACCCTGTAAACGAAAATAAATATCCTCGAGGTAGCAGGGATGAACCCTCAATAGAACAAATGCCATGAAAAGAAAAAAAAAAAAAAAAAAAAATAATGGTTTCACCCCAAGCAATTTATAAAACTAAATAAAAGCTCCTTGTCTGTGTTTTTCAATGGAATGCGCATATCCCTGCCCCCTCTTCATTAGAATGTCTGATAGTCAACTTCTTGAGAGCAACTCTCTGCGTCTGCTCGGTCTCACGTTGACCGCTGACCTGAGATGGAACAAATACATTGAGTCAATTACTTCGTCCACCGCAACGAAAGTTGGCTCTCTGTGCCGCGCCAGGAAATTTTTCTCCCCGGAATCGATACTTCAAATATACAAATCAACCATTCGCCCTTGCATGGAGTAATGCTGCCATATATGGTCTGGAGCACCTTCTGTTTACCTTGGAGTTCTTGACAAGATCCAGAGACGGATATGTAATATAATTGGCTCTATTTTTGTCTAATTCATTAAAAAGGCCAGAGTATCGTTTGATTGTGAGGGAGAATCAGGGATTGGTCTCCCCGGATTGGGTCGACTTGGTGACGGGGTGTATGATGTAGAAAGTCAAATTACATCACTGACGACCCTCTCCGGCGCTTACTTAAGAGCGTAGTTTTGAATTATTCAGCTACAGTGTAACCCGGGTATAAGAGAGTTGTCGGGACCGGAGAAGAAGTCTCTTATATCCGGGTTTCTCTTATATCCGGGTTTGGTCTATTTTATATACATTAACACAGGCTCTAATCTGGGACCAGAGAAAATCTCTCTTATATCCGAGTTAAGTTACCTCCTTGGTTATCCATTGAAACTGTTATCCACCGAAAAAGAAAGATAAAAAGAAGCCAGTCCCCACTGTGGACCATTTAAAAGATAGTCCGCGCAGTGGATTGGTTGTTACAAACATCCAATCGGGTGTGCGGAAAATGTCGTCATTCTTCGTCTAATTCATTAAGGCCAGGTCGACTTGGTGACGGGGTGTATGATGTAGAAAGACCCGAAACTCCCTGATGAACCAAGTCAGATTACATCACTGACGACCCCCTCTGGCGCTTACTTAAGAGCGTAGTTTTGAATTATTCAAATATAACTTATTGTTAGTCATTTTGTTATATAATTTTATAGTCGGTAATTCCACTATAAAATGTATTGCTGGTCATTTTACTATAAATATTAGGTTGGTGCAAAAATATTGTCGTTTTTTGACGTTCAACTTAACGTCAAAAACGACAATATTTTTGCACCAACCTAATATGTATTGTTGGTCAGAGTATAAATCGTTATTGTAGATAATTTTACTATAAATAGTTATTTTGGTAACTTTTTATGTAAAATAAAAATTTATTGCTGGTAAGTTTTCTATAAAAATATTTTTACACTTTGATAATGTTATGTTTTTTTTTTGGGGGGGGGTCAGTATTTGCCCGTACCTGGGACCCTGACAGGTGCTACAACCTCGAGTCATGATGGACCTGGGAACAACAAAAACTAAGAGATATTTCCAGACTCTTCAAAATCTCCAAATCAGAGGTCTTGTTGCCAGATGTAGTTTATCCTCATACCATAATTAGTTTGTTTATTACCGTAAGAATGCCGTTCCTGGCTACGAAATCACAGTTTAGCTAGAATAGGCCTGTTGTTATTACGAATAATTCTCTGGGCAAATATTACCTTTTTAATTGATAACAGCTGCTTGGCTTTCGCATTTTTCGGTAAAAATAATAATAAACACAAACCCGACTTTTAAAAGCTTTGTTTATTTTTTGTACAAATTATGTGCTATTTCTTTCCGGCAAAATCAAAAGGCGAACGGGAACGAATTAGAAAATAAATGAAACGAAAAACGAAAAAAATAAAAAAAAAACAAAGACTACGGAGATATTTCAAATACATTACCAACCAATGTCTTTGGCAAATCGCTTTCTCTTCCAAACAATGCCCACTCGATGCAAATTGTAAATGCAGGCCTGAATAGAATTCTCTTTCACATATTTTTTTTTTTTTTTTTAGAAAGAACACTTTTACTTCTTTGTTGTATATTAATAATTCGAAGGATGTTTTAATAAAATTTGGTTATCTCGACGAAAAAAAAAGAAAAAGAAAGACAAGCACATTGTTTGAAAAAAAGTTATATTGGGCTTTTAGAAAGCGATGAGATATGAAATATCAAAAATAAATTCTTTGTAGAAAATTGATTATAGATTTATAAGTATATAAAGTTGGTATTGATCCATTGGATCAAACAGAGATTATAATGAAAATTATGGCAAAGCCCGCTTTGCCATCAGAACGGACATGACTCTGAAGAATGCATTGCAAGGGAGAGAAAAAGATAAGCGAAAGAAGCGTGGGGGGAGATAGAGAAAGACAAGAAAAAAGAGGAAAAGGTGAGGAATGAGGGGAAAATTGAAGAAAGGGATGGGACAAGAGAGAGGTATGAAGAAATTGTGGTGAAAACAGAAAGAGAGGAAAGTGGGAGGAACCAAGAAAGAAAGAGAGAGAGTGATGAAAGAAGAAAGTGGGAGTGGATGAGAGGAAAATGTGAGGAATAGACAAAGAAAAGAATAGAGAATAAAGGGGGAAGTAAAGAAAAAGAGGGGGCAAAAGAGAGGTAGGAAGAAAGAGTGATGAAATAAAGAGGGAGGGGAAGTGATAGAAAAGGAGAGTTGGAAGGATCGAAAAAGAAGAAAGTGAGAAGTGATGAGAAGGAAAAGAAAAAGTGTGAGGAATGGAGAAAGAGAAAGAAAGAGACGGAAGTGGGGAATAACGGGGCATGAAGGTGTTATGAAGAGAGAGTGGTGAATAAAGAAAGAGGGAAAGTGAGAGTAAAATAGAGTGGGAGGAGGAGTCGAGAAAGATGAGCGCAGGAGTATGAAAATGAGAAGGAGGAGGAGGAGAAGAAGAAAGGGGAAGGGGGAGAATTGGTGATACAGGAGGAGGGAGAAAGAAGGAGAAGAATGGAGAAAGTAATTGAGCAAAACAGGTATAAAAACGGGTGGTGTAAAAAGAAAGAGTTAAGGAAATAGAGAGAGAAAAATGAAAGAATCGAAAAAGAAAAAAAATGGGAGGGATGGGAATGAGAAATAGAAAAGAAAAGGGTGAGAAAAAGAGAAAGAGAAGAAAGGAGGAAGAATGAAGAAAATGATGAGTCAAGAGTGTGGTATGAAAAAAAAGAGTTGGGAAAAAGAAAGAAGGAGGGAAAATGAGAAAAACGGAGAGCGACATGTAATAATAAGAAAGAGGTATAGATGAGAATGAAAGGAAGAAAGAGGAAAGTGTGAGGAAGAGGGAAAGAGGAGGAAGGAAGAAAGGGCGAAGTCTGAAGAAAAAAAGTGTGAGGAATGGAAAAATGAAAAAAAATGGGAAGACTGAAAAAGGAAGAGAGTGGCGAAGACTGAAGAAAGAGGAAAGTGTGAGGAATGGAGAAAGACGGAAAAAAAAGGGAAGACTGAAAATGAGGAAGTGTGAGGAAGAGATAAAGAGGAAAGGAAGAAATGGCGAAGTCTGAAGAAAGAGGAAGGAATGGAAAAAGAGGAAAAAGGGAAGACTGAAGAATGAGGGAAGTGTGAGGAAGAGATAAAGAGGAGGAAGGAAAAAATGGCGAAGACTGAAGAAAGAGGAAAGTGTGAGGAATGGAGAAAGACGGAAAAAAAGGGGAAGACTGAAGAATGAAGAAAGGATAAAGAGGAGGAAGGAAGAAATGGCGAAGTCTGAAGAAAGAGGAAAAGTGGAGAAAGAGGGAAAAAGGGGAAGACTGAAGAATGAGGGAAGTGTGAGAAAGAGAAAAAGAGGAAGGAAAAATGGCGAAGACTGAAGAAAAGAAAAGTGTGAGGAATGGAAAAGACGGAAAAAAAGGGGAAGACTGAAGAATGAGGGAAGTGTGAGGAAGAGAAGAGGAGGAAGGAAGAAATGGCGAAGTCTGAAGAAAGAGGAAAGTGTGAGGAATGGAGAAAGAGGGAAAAAAGGGGAAGACTGAAGAATGAGGGAAGAATGAAAAGAGGAGGAAAAGAAAAATGGCGAAGACTGAAGAAAGAGGAAAGTGTGAGGAATGGAGAAAGACGGAAAAAGGGAAGACTGAAGAATGAGGGAAGTGTGAGGAAGAGATAAAGAGGAGGAAGGAAGAAATGGCGAAGTCTGAAGAAAAAGAGGAATGGAGAAAGAGGGAAAAAGGGTGAAGAATGGGGAATGGAGGAAGAGATAAAGGGAAAAAAAAATGGGAAGACTGAAGAAAGAGGAAAGTGTGGAGGACGGAAAAAAAAAAAGGAAGACTAAAATGAGGGAGGAGGAGGAAGGAAGAAATGGCGAAGTCTGAAGAAAGAGGAAAGTGTGAGGAATGGAGAAAGAGGGAAAAAGGGGGAAGACTGAAGAATGAAAGTTTGAGGAAGAAAAAGGGAGGAAGGAAAAAATGGCGAAGACTGAAGAAAGAGGAAAGTGTGAGGAATGGAGAAAGACGGAAAAAAAGGGGAAGACTGAAGAATGAGGGAAGTGTGAGGAAGAGATAAAGAGGAGGAAGGAAGAAATGGCGAAGTCTGAAGAAAGAGGAAAGTGTGAGGAATGGAGAAAGAGGGAAAAAGGGGGAAGACTGAAGAATGAGGGAAGTGTGAGGAAGAGATAAAGAGGAGGAAGGAAAAAATGGCGAAGACTGAAGAAAGAGGAAAGTGTGAGGAATGGAGAAAGAGGAAAAGAAGACTGAAGAATGAGGGAAGTGTGAGGAAGAGATAAAGAGGAGGAAGGAAGAAAGGGCGAAGACTCAAGAAAGAGGAAAGTGTGAGGAATGGAGAAAGAGGGGAAAAAAGGGGAAGACTGAAGAATGAGAGAAGTGTGAGGAATAGGGAGAGGAGGAAGGAAGAAATGGCAAAGACTGAAGAAAGAAGAAAATGTGACGAATGGGGAAAGAGAAGGAGGGAATAAATGAGGAAGACTGAAGAAAGAGGAAGCTGTGAGAAATGAAGAAATACAAGGAGGAAAGAAAGGGGGAAGAATAAATAAAGAGATGAAAAAAGAGAGACGTATAGAGAAGGAGTGTTAAAAAAAAGACGGAAGTAGTAAGAGAGAGAGAAAGAGAGAGACGGAGAATGGGAAGAATTTAGAAAGGAAGACGGAAAAAGAAAGTGGTATATATGTGGGTAAGGTAGAAATACGGGGAGAGGGGAATAGAGAAAGACAAAATGCGAAAAGGAAGACGAAGGAATAAGGAAAGGAAAGGAAAGGAAAGGAGAGGAAAGGAGAAAGAGAGAAGAGCGTAGTATGTAGAAAGAGTGGCGAGAAAAGAAAGAGAGGAAAAAAAGAGAGAAAAGGAAATTGAGGGGAATGGAGAAAAAGTGAAAGAAGAATAAAATTGGGGGGAAAGGTTAGAGAGAAAAAGAAGTGTAAGGAAATTAGAAAGTCAACGAGAGAGGAGATTTGCCAGAGACGATTCAACAGAAATGACTGTGAATCCAAAAGAGGTTATTTGGATCTATTGTATAGTGTAGTTAAATTTCTTTTTACACATTATCTATTAGGTTGGTGCAAAAATAATGACGTAATAATATCGTTTTTTCTTAGGTCATTATTTTTGCACCAACCTAATATTATTAATTTGTGTTGTTGATTTTTATTATTATTATTATTATTATTATTATTATTATTATTATTATTATTATTACATTTACTTGTGTTTGTGTGTGCATTCGTCGGTGTTAATTTTTTTTATTATTTAATTAATTTGTTTCTTTAGAATGTTTGTTTAATTTGCATTGAATATTGTTGCCATATACGGTCTGTTGCCCCCGTTGTTCATCTCTGGCTCCGGGACAAAATCTAGAGAGGGATATGCAATGTGATAGGTCCTGGTCTTGTATCTTGTCTACACACATCAGTTTTTCACAGATGAAAGAAGAGAGACCTATGAAGAAAGAGAGATGAAAAAGGAATGCAGGAGAATATATATATATATATATATATATATATATATATATATATATATATATATATATATATATATATATATATATATAAGAAGAGTGGGAAGAATTTAAAAAAGCGAGGCGGAAAAAGAAAGTGGTAGGAGGAAGAGTGCGTGGTATGTAGAAAGAGTGATGAGAAATGAAAGGGGAGGAAAAAAAAGAGAAAAGTGAGGGGAATGGAGAAAAAGTGTTAGAAGTATAAAGTTGGGAGGGGGGTAGTTAGAGAGAGGGAGATATGTGAGGAAATAAGAAAGACAACGAGAGAGGAAATTTGCCAGAGACGTTTCAGTAGAAATAAATTTGGATCCAAATGTGGTTATTTGGAACTGTTGTATAGTGTTGTTAACTTTCTTTTTACTCATTTTCTATTATTGATTATTTAATTATGTCTTGTTGATTATTATTATTATTATTATTATTACATTTACTTGTACATTATTTACATTATTCGGACTATTGTTCTCATCTTTGTCGCCATATTTATTACAATATTTCGGTCGTTGTACGCTCCGGCCTTCTTCAGGTGGTTGGAATGTCGAACTGAACCCTTTATTTCGCTTACTGGGGTAGACTGTTCTAGTTCCACGGGCCATGTTTAATGGATGTCAGTTATCAGTTATCTCCTGTTAATTCCCCTCTGAAAGTTCTCCACTGTCTTAACCGGGTATTGAACTCACACCCTTTGGGTCCTGTCACTGGATCTAACTAACGCCTTTAGCTGTGTATGAAATATAGACAGATACATTTATTTATGTTAGTGTGTGTATTTGTTGTTTGCTAATTTGTTTATTATTACATTAATTTGTTTATTTTTTATTCAGATATTTTTTGTTTATTTTATTTTATTTTACTTAATTAATTCATTTTTTTAGGTTTTGATTTTTAAGTTCCGAAGTAAAAAAAAAAAAGTTTTCATATCTACATGTTGAGATAAGTTCTGATCGTTTGCTTAGTAATTTGTATTGGTCTAGGAAGATAATTATGGCTATTTTATAATTTTCTTCTTCTAACATTTTATATTTACGTCCGCTCTATATGGATAGAACAATTTACCGCGTAGATAAAGCCTAAATACCGAACACCTCGCCAGAACAAATTCCATGAAAATATTTGTCGAGAAGACAGATGGAAGCCAGCTGGTGTAGGTGGGAAAGTGTTTGAAGTCGAGGTGCCAGGTCCTGATCGATAATACTGCAGTCCCTTCTTTGAATTTTTCCAAGAATCTTGAGATATACAATAGAAGCACCAGACCAGATATGGCACTAGTATTCAATACACGGACGATTGGTAGATTTATAAATGTGTAAGAGGGATTCTGGAAAGAATAATTGTCTGGTATGACTCAGCGAACCAACTTTCTTAAGAGCGAGACAGATTTCCTAACAGTAGATCTTGCAGATGATTCAATATAATCACTCCAGTTCATGTCACTGGAAAATGTTAAGTCCATGAAGGCGCAAAGTTTTGCTCTCCTAGAGGTTAGTATCAGGCATACTGAAGGCAGACAGAAAAGTTTCTCCAAATTGATTAAATGGAGTATTAAATTTCCTTGCAGCAGTTAACCACTGATTGGGGGTCCTTTTTGAGAACAGTTGCCAGTTCTACTCGGTCACTCCTGTCGGACCTGCTACTAAGGCAGGCGTATACAATTGTATTGTTGTTTATATATATATATATATATATATATATATATATATATATATATATATATAATATATAAAAAAGAAAAACAGACCACTTTTTTTAAGGTACCATTATAATAATTTATTTCACCAGAGCCCTTTTAAAGGACTCTGGATCATCAGATAGCACTTCCAAGAATGAAATGAAACGAAAATGAGATTAAAATTGATGGATACTGTAAGTTTTTGTAATTGAACAGAGAGTGTGAAGGGGATAGTTAAAGAGACAAGGTAGAGTATGGAGAGGGATTAATTTCATATCTCTCTCAAATATACTTTGTATTGGGGGAGGAGGAGTGACCAGACCTTGACCTATTTAGATGGTTAACTTAACGGAAGTGATATATAATAATGGGAGGGGAGTAGTGAGAAAAGAAAAAAGAAAAAGAAAGAAGAGGGAGAGGGAAGTAAAGAGAAATTGGGTTTTAGCAATTTATGTAAATATATATATATATATATATATATATATATGCTAAGTGGTTGGCATCTCTGTCCCACCCTTTCACAATCGAAGCGCCTCTTCTACTCCAGCGGCTTCTCTCGCACTTCCCGCCAGTGCAACTCCCTTCATCCTACTTGCTTCCTTAATCATCATCCCTGTCCTTTATATCATAACCTCAAACACCCCTCTACTCTTGCTCTCTCTTTCTGTAACCCCTTGCGTGCTAGTAGCACTCCCGCCTTGCTTGGGGTGAAAAGCTTAAAAAATTGTTTCGAGGGTTGGTTATCTTAATTGTTTAGTTTAAAGTATTGTCTGTGTCTTAAACATTTTACATTATCTGCGTTGTATATAAAGAATATATTTGCACTTTTCATTGCGGCATTTTACAAGGTATTCGTTTTGGCTTTCGATTCTTAAGTAACGTAGCAAAAATTTATTTTCGTGTTTGCATTTTCAGATAAATTCTGATCCTTTATCTTGTAATATGTGTTTGTCTTGGAAGGTTATTTTTCCCTCCAGACAAAGTTGATAGTTTTTGTTTATTTACTGTTGCATGATGATGCGGTTTCCTTATCTTCCGTGATATTTTTGAAGTAATTTGTCTTTTGTTTTTAATTTCTCGTATATGTTTATAAAGAACTGTGCTTTTCTCGTATTTAATATTTATAAAGGATGGTGTAATTTCTATGTTGCCATCGTCTTTTAGTTACTCCAATGTATTTTGCTTCGTTATTTCCTGATTTTAGAGTGGCTTGGTATATTACATTGCTTTGTAAACATTTGTGATTTAAGGGTCAGTCATTCTTTACACTGCAGTTATAGGTGGGTTTGATTCGTGCGGGTAGTTTTTTTTTTTTTTTTTTTGGTGTATTTGTGTCATGTTCTCCGCGCAATGTAGGTGAGTTTTTACTATGTTTCTGTTTAATAACTTGTGGAGAGTAACTGATGGCGGAAGTTTTTGTATATAAATTTAATTAATATTTTCCTATATCTGTTTTTAAGTTTTTGTTTGTGTGTGTGTGTGTGTGTGTGTGTGTGTGTGTGTGTGTGTGTGTGTGTGAAGCACACACACACAAACATACAGACACACGTTTATATCTCTATACATTCGATACCCAATATTAATCAATTATAATTTTTTTTTTAAACGTTTCACCCCAAGCAAGGCAAGAATGCCACTAGAACGAAAGAGGTTACAAGGGGTTACTTGTGGAACTCCTGACTCCATGATTTCCAACGAAATTTAATCTGAAAAATATTAAATGCAATGTGAATTGCTATCTACTGTCCTCCTGATTACTCTTTTCTCTTTCTACTCAATAGTAATGTTTCTGTTCCTAATTTCTCCACACCATGTAAACCTTTGTGTCTTAGTATCTTTACTGTCTCGATTGGGGTGATAAAAAATCACAACATATTCATTATAGAGGCTCAAACATTGATTGGCTACAAGTATCATTTGTGAAAATATTTCTACAATCATATAGCTATAATAAAGAGAGGCAAGGGATTAATGTAAGAGAAAAATGACGAGGCAAATAAAGAGAGATCAAGCTTGAATTAAAGAGAAAGAGAACAAGCCTAAAATACAGACAGACCAATGTAGAATTGAAGAAGAGGAAGACAAGGCTAAAATAAAGAGTGACCGAAATTGAAGTAAAGAGAAGGAAGACATGCCAAGGTTGAATTAAAGCGAAAGGAAAAATGCTAAAGCAAGGAGAGAGATTAAGTTTGAATTGAAGAAAAAGAAGACAAGGCTATAATAAAGAGAGGTCAGGGTTGAATGGAAGAGAAGGATGACGAGGCAAATAAAGAGAGATCGAGCTTGAATAAAAGAGAAAGAGAACAAGCCTAAAATACAGACAGACCAATGTAGAATTGAAAAGGTGGGGTGGGGAGACAATTCTAAAATAAAGACGGACCAAGTTAGGGAGAACAAGGTGGAATAAAAGAGAATGAAGACAAGGCTAAAGAAAGAAAGAAAGAAAGACCAGCTTTAAAAAAAGATTAGATAGAGATATCTTAAATAGACACGAAGGTTGAACTGAAGAGAAGGCTAAAATAATGACGGAGCAAGTTTGAATTGAAGAGAGGGGAGACGAGGATAAAATAAAGAGAGTCAAATGTCGAATTAAAAAAGAACATGGCTAAATTAACGAGTGACCAATGTGGAATTAAATAGAAGGAAGAAAATAAGATAAAGAGACACCATGTTTGAATTAAAAGGCAAGACTAAAATAGAGTTGAATTAAACAAAAGGAAGACAAAGGTAAATGAAGGGGGAGTAAGATGGAAGTGAAGGAAGACAAGCCAAAGAAAGAGAGATCGAGGTTGAAATAAAGAGAAGGAAGGCAAGGTTAAAAGAAAGAGAGAACAAGACCAAATTAGAGACAAGGATGACACGACCAAAATAAAGAGAGACCAAGGCTGAAATAAATGGAGATTTAAAGAAAAGGAAGGAAATGTTAAAATAAAGAGAGATCAAATTTGAAGAGAAGGAAGCCATAGCTAAATAAAGAGAGACCAAGGTTGAATTGAAGAGACGGAAGACAAGGTTAAAATAAAAAGAGACCACTGATGAATTGAAGCGGAATAAGTTTAAAATAAAATGAAACCAAGCTTGTGTTAAAGAGAGAAAACACAAGGCGGAATTAAATCCTAAGGTTGAATTAAAGCAGAGGAAGACGAGCCTTATTAATAGTAGAAGAAAAGTCTAAATTTAAAATAAAAGAAATGGGAAAGTAAGAAAAATTATACAAGTTTTATTACGAGATGTGAAGACCAAGGATGTGTTGAAGAGAAGTAAAACAAAGCTGAATAAAGAGCAGAAGACGCAGCTTAATAAAAGAGAAGGAAGACAATGTTGTAGAAAGATAAAGTGACTTAAAGCAAAGAAACAAAATGGCTGATTTAAAAACAAAATGTGACACATAAACAAAACTTAATATAGCGAGAAAGCTCGATATGAAGAAAATAACGATAGCGAAAATAAAAAAAAATCGATTTACTAATGGGAGGGAAAAGTGCATTGGTCGATGGTTAATCAAAGTGGCAACAATATTCTGGGATATTTTTTTTTTCAAATTGCCAAAGTAAGCAGCTTTATTGGCAAATTTAAATCACCTTCCAACGCTTGAAATATTGCGCCTGAACGAGAGAAGCGTCCCTTTTAATGGTTTCTTCTGTCGAAAGATTAATCGCATTTTTTATTGTTTCCCCACAAAAGAAATCGATGTTTAAAAGCTCCATGCAGTTTCGACTTCCCAAATGTTTATTCCTTGATTTCGAAGATCGCGTTCTTACGTGTCGCATTTATTTGCAGGAATGAGGGAATTGTGACTCACCTGGTATAGAAACAATAGTCGTTTTAAAAAGCTGTTTCAAGTTAAATCACAATCATGTAAAAATCTATCTGTTTGTTCAGCGGCATATGAACATAGTTATGTGTTATTTAATGCTGAAATTTAATTTTCTGTAAAAATGTATGGCTGGTAATTATTTTTTTTCAAAAATGCACTGCTGGTTTAATGTATGTGTTTTTTTTTTCTTTACAAAAATGATGTTTTGGCAATATTTTCTTTCAAATATATATTGTTGGCAATATTTATTTATTTTTTACAAAAATATATTGCTGGTAATATTTTTTCTTCAAAAATGTATTGCTTGTAATATTTACTTTTTTTAAATTTATTGCTGATAAGAAATTTTTTCTTCAAAAATATATTGCTGGCTACACTAGTTTTAGTTCTCAAATGTAGCGCTGGCAACATTTTTTTTTTTTAAAAAAATATTTTACATCTTCAAAAATGTATTGTTGGAAATTAAATTTTCTTCAAAAATGTATTGTTGTCAACAATTCGTTTTTTTTTTCCAAAAATGTATTGTTTGATATTTTTTTTCAAAAATATATTGCTGGTAATATTTGTTTTCCTTTAAAAATGTAAATCTGGCAATGTTTTTTTTTTTTTAAATGTATTGGTGGTAATAATTACTCTTTTCAAAAATATATTGATGGTAATGTACAGGGTGTCCATAAAGTCTGTGTATACTTTAAAAAATTATAACTATATTTGTATTTGCGACAGAAATAATTAGTGGAAAGGATTAGAAAGAAGTAAATCTATATTTTTTTAAGGTTTTATTGAAATTTTATTTAATTTTTCACATATTCTCCATCATTAGCAATACAAAAAGTAATATGGTTTTGCAGTTCACGGAAAAAAATTGCCAACTAATTTACAGCAATGCCTGAAATCACATTAGTTATTTTAACTATACTTAAAACTAGGTACATTAAACTTTATAACATTTTTTTACAGATTATTTCTATCGCAAATACAAATAAAGTTATAAATTTTTGAAAGTGCACACGGACTTTATGGACACCCTCTATTTTAAACACATGAATTAATGGCAATATATGTTTTAATATACGTATTGATGGTCACACTTTTTTAACATATAAATTGATGATATTTTTTTATACAAAAGACTATTACTGGCGATATAATTTTTACCTAAATATATTGCTGGTAAAATTTTCTTAATAAATGTAATATTTCCTTTTTGTTTTTACAATAAAAAGATATTGCTGGTATTTTTACTAAAAAAAAATGAAATCTTTTACTTTCATAGTGTTCTGACCCAAGTTTTGGTGGTTCACTATTTGCCTATAGTTGGGACCCTAACAAGTGCTACTACCCTTTGTTATGGTGTACATGGAAATAACAGTAATTAATAGGTGGTTCCACGCTCCTCAAAACTTCCAATCTCCCGATCGGAGACATTGCCGCTGGATGTCATTCAGCGTCAAACCCAGGACGAAGCAATCATTTATAAACTAACTAGCAGCATGACCCGGCGTTGCTCGTGCTTGATTCAAAAATCGTATGACTCATACAGCAATCGCTATCACTTGACTTAAAATATTTTTGCCCTTCCTTGCCTTTAAAGGAGTGCCCTTTGCCGTGCTTATGTTGCTACATGTCTTACTTCTTGCCTATCTCACACTGCGAATTTTTTCTAAGTTCTATACTAAACATTAAATCTGTTACGAAAAAAGAACTAAACAAAATGAACACAAAACGATAAGCTTTAAAAAAAGGACTCGTAACTGGAAAACCCGAATGAAAATAGAATGTTAACAACAAATAATTTTTCACACCCAACCCAGTTCTGCGGAATCAGAATCAACGTTGAGTTTAAGCAAGCGAATGAGCCAATTGGAGTAAAGTGCCATGCAGATTTAAATTTTTCCCACTTGTGACGAATGCAGCTATCGATTTTTTTTGCATGCTAGCAGGCTAGTTATCATTCGTGTCAGTCAGCTGTTGGCTCTCACGCTGACCAATAGAATCTTCCTGCCTATCCGTGGCAGTCAGCTATAGGCTCTCACTCTGGTCAATAGAAAATGACCGCAAACTACATGGGAAGTGCCGCAGAAGCATAAAAAAATCGATTATTTTCACTATCGATGGGAGTTGGGAAATGCAAAGTCGGTCTTGGCCTTCCCACTAACTTGGAGCATGTGCATGTAAATTTTGGTGCAAATCCGTCGAAAATTGCGGCCGTGCATTCGTTACACACACACACAAACACATCCTACCTTTTATAGATAGAGATGTGTATTTCGAATTTTAATGAATATAAAATGGGTAATCAGTTTCACACTTCTATCTATCAATATATATATATATATATAATTATGAAATGGACAAACTCCGACAATTATTTTAAGACATTTTTCTGTTTATACATTCTTTTTATAGATACAAATATTTAAGTAAATGCCCTGTTCTATGATAAACAGTACTAATAACATTTACCGGCCTGAATGTCCGAGAAATTTTCATCGAAAATGTTCGTTCTCTGACAGGAATCGAACCTGTATCCTATACGGAGCCGTCATTTAGCTTGACGTGTCTCAACCGATCGATATGAGCAGATATGAATGTACGTGAGAGATTCTTAGCAGATTGAAGTTTACAAACAGTAAAATCGACCTTGCTAATCCGTGGCTCAATCGGTTAATGGCATGTCAGGCTATATGACGGTTGCGTATAGGATGCAGGTTCGATACATGTCGGGGAACGAATATTTTCTATGAAAATTTCTCGGACATTCAGGCAGGTAAATGTTATTAACATTATTTATTATAAAACAGAGCATTTACTTAAATATTTGTATCTATAAAAAGAATGTATAAACATAAAAATGTCTATAGATAGATAGAGAAAGAGAGAGAGATTCTTTACATCTTTCGTCATCCTCTCCTTAAGAGGCAAGAGCATGTTACTGTCGGTCGAAGTAATTTAGAGCAACGTGCAAAAAGGTTAATTATTGCACACACAAACACGCATATATATATATATATATATATATATACTTCTCAAAATGTATGTGTGTGATCGGATGTTGTGTATGCGTTTCTGAAGTTTTCATCCGATTTAGATGAAATTTTTTTTTGATTGATAGATAATTCTTCTATATTGGCTGGGAAAAAATACAATACAAACTTGAAGGTGAAAAATCGAAAAAGAAAACTGACTTTTTGCACTTTGCGAAAAAAATCAAAGGCAAAATTTAATGTCTGTAAATAAAGCAGCCTACGATCAATTTAGTGAGTTGGAATCTAACCCAAAAGATTATTAGAATGATCAAAAAAATTATATATAAATAAAAATTATAGTATATTATTATTATGACGGTCCGTGGAAGAGGTTCCTTCCTTCCAAGATTGAGAAGGCAAAAAAAAAACAGCCCCCACCACATTCAAATTGTGAACCACCCATTTGGGTATGTGCCTCAATTGCACCCGATTGTTGTTACTAATATTGATGTTTCGGGTTATTCTGAAAATAATCGAGGTTTTGTCGTTGTATATTTTCACCTACTTTTTATGTAAAATATATAAATCGTTTAATTTTGATTCTGAAATTTTAGATAAGGGGTTACCTTAAATTAATTTTAGAAAAAAAAGTTACGTAAATCTTTAGCTCTCGAGCCGTTGAAAATAAAGTGGGGATTTATCTTAAATTCAATGCAGAAAAGCTAGGTGCGATTGATAAATTGTCGTCTAAATGACGCAAAAAAAAAAAATTGAAATAACACTGATACAGTGTAACCCGGATGTAAGAGACCCGGATATAAGAGAAACCCGGATATAAGAGAAACCCGGATATAAGAGAGATTTTCTCTGGTCCCAAATTAGAGCCTGTGTTAATGTATATAAAATAGACCCAACCCGGATATAAGAGAAACCCGGATATAAGAGAGATTTTCTCTGGTCCCAAATTAGAGCCTGTGTTAATGTATATAAAATAGACCAAACTCGGATATAAGAGAAACCCGGATATAAGAGAAACCCGGATATAAGAGAAACCCGGATATAAGAGAAACCCGGATATAAGAGAGATTTTCTCTGGTCCCAAATTAGAGCCTGTGTTAATGTATATAAAATAGACCAAACTCGGATATAAGAGAAACCCGGTTATAAGAGAGATTTTC